TTTGCCAGTAAAAATTACTTCTTTCTTCAATATCAATGCTGAAATTCTATCAGTAAAATTTATTATTGATGACATTTGGATTACTATATAAAATTGATGATTTAATTGAGAGCTTAACGTATTGAAAAGAATTCAAAATTGATGCTGAATTTTCTTTATTTTTTTACCAGAAAAATTACTTCTTTCTTCAATAGAAATGCTGAAATTCAATCATTAAAATTTATTATTGATGACATTTGGATTACTATTCAAAATTGATGATTTAAGCGAGAATTTTACTAATGGATATTTGTACCGTAAAATGGAAGTAAATAAATAACAAATAAATAATATTTATAAGTGCAATAGATGCAAATAATTTTGACCTGATTTCTGTGATAAACTTTTTTTTTCCAATTAAGTAAACCAGTAATTTTAATCTACTTTGCTATTTGAAGATTTTTATACAAAAAGAATGAAAAATAAATACTAAATTTTTATTCATTTTTTGTCAGTTAAAATTACATCTTTCTCCAATAGAAATGTTGAAATTCTATCATTGAAATTTATAATGGAGAAGTTATGGAGAAGACGAATAAATTCGAAATGTATGAAATTTTTAAAGAGCCTGATGTCGTAAAATACTTGAAATCCAAAAGATAAATTTAGCTGAACGGCTGGTTAGAATGCAAAAAGATTGAATCTACCAAAATCATTTCTATCCAAGCCTATACGAACTAGAAAAAGAGGCAGACCTGGTCTTAGATGTATTGACTGTTTTGAAAAAGACATGGATACTTTAAAAACCAAAAATTAGAAGATAGCCTGAAAAAAAACTATTGGAAAAGGCCAAGACACACCCAGGGGTGTCGTGCTGCTGAAGAAGAAGAGGTCATCCGCCGCGCATCTTAAAGCAGATTTAGGTTTCTTAATACTGTTCACTCAGAATTGATATTTTTTAGCAATTCGCTGGATTTCCAGCTTGAATTATTTCTTTTTTAATCCAAAAATAATGTTCAAAATTTTTTCTTCTTCTCTGAATTAATGACTCAAAAACTGATAACTAAAATTAGAGCTTCAAAAATCATCATCGAAAACAAGTTCCCTAAATTTAAGTTTTCATGACCAATGAATTATTTTTTTGTTTCTTTCATTGTATATACGTTAATAAGAGTTTTCTATATTTAACCTTAGGAAATACTCTATTAGAAATAGACTGAGTAACAGGATAATAGACTAATTTTATTTTATTTCATTATACTCCTGGTACATATTCATTTTCTACACACTTTTGTACTTTCAAGTTTCTAAGTTTTATAGCTTTTGCACAAAAAAATAACAACTTAAAAGTGCAATAACTTTTGAGCAAAATTAAATTCCAAAAAAAAAAATTCCAGTTTCAAGTCTGCAGTCGCAATTTTGTGGTCTGTACACTGTAAAAAATTCTAATTCAAATTATAATATAAGAAACGGATACTCACCACTACCTGTACTCTTTATCGTACAAAAAATCTGATAAACCTTAATTTTTATAATAATACTTACGGTAAAATCATTGTATCATTACGATTAAATAAATATTACTTTAAAAATTACGGTAAAATGTTTTACGGATGCTGCACTCAGGGTGCGTTTACTTTTTGCCGTAATTTTGATTCGAAGTTTTTTACAGTGCTGAGTGGCCACACGATATTTTTTGCTACAATTTTGACAGTTGAACTAATTAAGGAATGCAAATATTTTTATTTTAACGCAGTACCTGTATTTTTTCTACAAACTTTCATGATTTCAAGAGTCTAAGTCTTTTGTTTTTGCAAAGTTAAATGAAATATAACGTCAAGTTGGACACCTAAAGCAGTGGCGGCAGCGCTTACGATTTTTTTAATATAGAGAAAAATTATTATAGTTCGCTAAGATAATTTATTTATATTTTTCTAGTTTCATTTTGAGTTGATCTACTTTCTATAATAAATAAAGAAAAAGTTTAAAATTATTTTGGACATAGTTTTTTTTGAGACTCTCATATTTTTTTAAATTTTTTTTTCCATAAATAAATGATTTTTTTTAAAGTGCCTTTAAATTGTTTTTGACTTGAAATTTTCAGAACTCATAGAAATTTGTCTGAAATATATTCCTTTATATTAATATTTCATTTCATTTCTGTAGATAACAAGAAATTATTTTAAACTAATTCATTATACGTAGCTGTTATGAACAATTTACATAAATAGTTGTTAAAAGTTGTTGACCTAATGTCAACAAAAAAAATGCTTCTCAAAATTAATTGCATTTTTTTAAAAAATAACTCTTTATTTTTAAGAGTATACTTAAAACCAACACAAGTAATATTTCGTAGATTTTTTAAACACGAATGTAAAAAAAAGTAATATATCTCATACATTATCCACTTATATTTCGATTTAATAGGGTAATTTTTTATTTTAATGGTCTTCATTTAAAATTTTTTTTCTTTAAACGGAAATATACTTTATTATTTATAGTCCAAAAGAATACTTTAAAATAATAGCACAATAAGTAAAATGAACCATTATGAGCTTTTCGAAACATCCGTGATCTAAAATATTCATTATGTAAAAAAATGTACATTAAAAACAAGCGTAATTATTATATATTTTTTGCTATAATTTAAGCCACACTCATTAGCTTTCCAACAAGTACGCATCGATCCTATCCAAATCTTTAATCGCGTAGATGTGTAATATGCGTTAGTACATACCATGATAGTTTTCAGTAGAAAGTGTCGAGGTGAACTGGTGGTGGTAGCGTGAACGTGTGGGGAAGGACAACTAAAAGCAAGCTTTAAATTGCCAAGCCAGCTGTCAGACATCCTTTCCCCCACCACCAAAACTTGCAATCCTTGCCTTTCCTGGCCACTAACTTCGACGCGAAGCCATTTAATGCAGCTGATACATCTGCTCCGAAAGCATATAGACCATGCCACAGCTATATCAAGGAAAACTCAGGGATGAAAACCGGGAGGAAATTTTATCTTCTCTTGGAAAACTTTTCCTTGTTTTGGAAAAGGGCCTCAAGAAAAGTAAGTTATAGCCGAAGATATAAACTCTAGGAAGTAAATGGCATCGTTACGTGCTACAGAGTTGTATTTACACTGAACCAACTTTATTCAGGACTGTTGATGCCTGTCCTTTGAAATTGTAGATTTCGTAAGTTTCCCCTAAAATCCTCCTAAATGCTCCAGTGAATTAAAAGTTATTTGAGTTTCGCACGCTATTTGAAATGAAGTTGTTTGTTTCTATGAGGGTTTGTTTGTTTAACAATTGTGGGAGTTTTGAAAAGTGCTGCACCTCCTTTATCAAGCCATAAATTTTGACTGCAATTTTATTTTGAAAAATTTATGTTTTCCCCAAAACATTTAGTTGAAACATCTCATAAATTTATGCAGTCCATTATAGCTAATAACGATTTTTAAGAATGCTCTAATAAATCAGTAAATGCGTTTGCAGTCAGGGAGGGAATTTTAAATATGAAATTTTTGCCAAAAACTTAATAAAAGTATGTTCAAAATGAAGTTCTTATATTTATGGAATATAATGTCTTAGCTCAAAATTTACTGCCGCAACTTAGAATGGATGATTAAACTCATATAAAACTTGAGAGAGAAGGAAAAGAATCAGAAGTTTAAGCACATATATGTAGAGGATGTGCTATAGGAGAAAGATTATATAAAATTTTTTTAAAAAATTGAAAAAAAAAAGAAGAATTAAAGCTAATAAATGTAATTTTTTTAAAGCTTAAATGCGATATAAATCATAAAATTTATATTTGCTATTAAAATCTGCTTAATTTAAAGTATTGGAAAAATGGACTACTCTAATGGACTAAAATAGAAGTATAAAAGAAAAGGAAGGTATAGTTGAAATAATGTATAAAAGAAAAGGAAAGTATAATTTTAAGACTCTTAGTTTTTAAAAGTTTGTTTTCTGAAGCTTATTTTACTTTATTTTATAACCGCCGTTGAACAGCAGACCCAATTTTGAGTTCATGGCTACTAATGTTCAACGCCGCTGCCTTGTAATTCTTAATCTAATCCCGAAAACAAAGGAACTCCAGGATCAAGAACTGAAGACATTTTGCATTCGTGGAGAACTTTTTGATGGAACTCAGCCGCATTTGCTTTACATTTAAATGAAAACCATGAAACCCTCCCACGGTTAGTCTGACGGATGCCAGATGAAATAAATGACTATAATGAGTAATTAGATTAATATTTTTATAAAAGAGATGATTAAATGACTAATTAGATGAAAATAATTTAAAAATTCTCTAAAATATATTTCTAAATTTAGCAAATTGAGTGCTTTCGAAATTTAGCTTCATTTAATTATGAATCAAGAAATATTTCTTCATCATCCAACGTTGTAAAATTTGGCTGAAAATGCATTTTAATGAATAAAAAATGTTCATAGTGGTTTACAAAATTAATATTTGTCTCTTTTACTATACTCTGTTGTAGATTAAGGAAAACCATTACCCTAATGGAGAGAGCCTGTACACTAAATGTGTGCCAAGCCTCAAGCGCGAACAAATATCAACATCTCTAACTCTTGAAACTACGTAGCAAGGCCTTCTTTTGGCTTACAAAAAATAACACGAATTAAATTTATCTCCGAAGAGTGTAACTTTTAAAAACTTTTATATTGTTTTGAAAGGATAATTATGTAAATTAGATAGTTAAAAAAATCGGAACTATATGCAGCCGCGGATGATTACTTGAATCCTACACCGCAATTGTCTTTTCTTACCTTGCAATGGAGTAAAATTCTTTATTAATTGTAAATTTAGCTTCAGTATTATATATAAAAAAACTACTATAACTGCTGACTCAAGAGGCTCAATACAATAGTAATCATAAATCATCTATCACAAGTGTTATTCAGTCTAAGAAACGTGTAAAAAGAAACTGGCATTCTTCCAAATTCTAAATTCACGTAAAGAAAGAGAAATTTTGATTTAAAACAAATAACAAATAGACAGAGTCATGTGATCAATTCAGATTTAGGTTTATATTGTTTTGTCGCTCACTTCTCAAATTTTCCTTAACTCTATGAAGGGTCACAATGCGTAAGTTATTTTTTCATTCGTTATAGATTTACTAAGATATACACTTTTTGTAACTACTATTTTTAGGTTTAAAGTGTACATTTTTCATAAATTGAAGGACTTGGGCTAGATAATGATGAACTATCTTTTCAAGCCGTTTAGAAGAGCAGCATTTTTTTAAAAGCTTTCTTGCGAAAATTATCATGAATTTCAAGTAGACTATCAGACATTACTGAAGTGTGGAAAAAGTGAATTTTTTCTTTACAAGCTCTCCAATTAAATAACATTAAAAGAACGTGCTATCTAAAAAAAGATATTCTAAAGAAGTCTTCTGTGTATCAAAAAGACCATTTTAGGCCGAGCTAATTTCTCAAAATTGATTTTGCACAGAAACGCGTTTATTTTAAGTTAGACAGGAAAATGCTTCACGTCAATAACGATTCTTTTACACAAAGAGAAGAATTCTGGTAAAATTATCGTATTGCATAGTAATGACATTTCTGGTAAGCAAGAAGCATAATTCAGGTTGACAAAACCAAATAACAAACCAAATAAGCTATTCATTTTGCAATTTTTGCGTTCATATTGTAACGGTTGACATGATTCTCTGGTTTTCAAATTACAGTTCTTATTGCCTCACATTCAGTAAAAAAATACAAAACTGAAAAATAAATGCACCCGAACAAATGTTTTTAATGCCATGCTTCAAGGTATAATAACCAAATTTCACCGCGTTTATTAAATTTTATCTCATGTTGTATAATTTTACCAAAATCATTACCTAAGTGTTTTTGAGCTATTTAGTTTCCCATAAGACCAGAAACACGTTAAAGTTTACGTTATTCTGGTAGTTTCGTCCATGTTTTTTTTTCTCGGTGCGAGCAATGTCATTACGTCTAAATTAACTCTTTGGAGGTGAATTGTCATTTTACGGTGGCTAAATTATGTATTTTTTCAAAGTAGTTCTTTTTTAATTAAAATCTTATTAGGGTGATATATTTTATACCAAATGTTTAAAAATGATTAGTAATTTGAATAATAAATTTTAAAAAGTAATATAGAAATAAATAGAAATGGCTTGGTAAAAGATTGCGCCAAGCTGTTTCTGGAATGGAAGGAAAAGGAATGAAAAAAAGTCAGGACAATGATAGTTCTCTGCGTTCTGCTTCGGAAATGAATATTTCTTTCCCCATAATTTAATTAACTACAAAGTTATTAGTATATATACATTTCAATCATAACATTCAAAATTAGCAACAAAAACCGCAAAAATATGGCGCTTATATACATAATAAACAATGATTTTGAAGTAACTGTAATGTGCTGCAGCAATGTGACTCGGTTTGAGAGCAAAATCAGCATGCACTCTAGTAAGTTCTTTCATTTGAAAAGATCTGATGAGCAGAAAGACGTGTTTTCTACTAATCTTAGACGTAAGTGACAAGTATTAAGATATTTGTTTTACTAATTTTGAAACTTTTCTTGACTAAGGTTCGTTTCGTATGCAGGACAAAGCATATCATACATTTCCTATCTTTTTTGAAATCGATATCCTCTTTTAATTATTTTTTAAATCATTAATCAATTTTGAGACCCCAGACATTTTTAAACGTAAATTTCCAAATTTTCACCTCGAAAATTGTAGTCTCTAAATGTAATTATCTTGTTTGGAATTAGGAATTATTTAAACGAATTAAAACTTTATCGCTTTTTTATATGAGATGTAGAAAAAAGACGAATTTCTATAATAATATTTCTAAATTTAATTCAATAATAATCAATTAGTAAGGTATAATTCTTTTTCATATAATTTTAAACTGTTTGTTTTTAAATAACAAAATTCAAAATTTAAACGAAATTTGTTAAAAGGTTTTTGAGATATAAGATTGCAAAGAATTATTTTTCCACTTAAAAATTCCTATCTAGTTCAGAAAAGAATTATGCAGAAATTAACTAATATCATCAATTCAAATATTATGCGATTAGTGCGTATGTTGAAAGGACTAAGATTTTGTAGGTAATCAAACAGTAGTATTTACTCCATTTCTCAAATAGTTTAACGTTTTTTGCTATTTAATATTTATATTTATGTTACATTTATTGATTTATTTTTACATTTACTGTAAGTCAGCTTGTTTATTAATCATCTATAACTTTTGCTTTTCTTCTTTTTGTGCAAAGTATCGTAATAGATACGGCGAACAAATAAAATAATATCATTCGCCTTTAAAAGAATTAGGTGTAATTGAGACAGTCTTGTCTAAATAAAAATTTAATATATATTTCAATTAATGTTAACTTTTGACTGAAATAATTTTTTTTATCATTGCTGATGTTTACAAGGCTTCCTTTTTGTATGGCATTGAATCTACTATTACTACAAAAATTTACAAATAGAAAAGTTTTTAATGCATAATTTGTCCAATTTATGTTCAAACTTTACTGTTAATGCAATTTGTAGAGGAATTTAAAAATAAAATAAAAATTATTCTAAAGAAAAGTATATGTAAGCAATAGTCATCTTAAAAATGAAGTAAATTATAAAAAACAAAAAAGCATGTAAAGAAAATTATTTCTTTTATTATTTCAAATCTACATAGATTACTCGCAATGACATTTTTTAAAGTGTTTAAGTATTTCTGTTTGTAGCTAAAAATACATTAACTATGTGAACAAAATTTTACAGTTTTCATATAATTTAAAAAGTGGGATTGTAACTAATATCGAAAAATAAGTTTTGGTCTTGTTTCACATGAAAGGATCGCTATAACTCATTTCAGTATTGCACATACTTGAAACACGTGATTTTAGATTTTTTTCTAACATCATATCATTCTAAAATGTAATTTTCATAGTCACGAAAAAAAAATATATTATTTGTATACAAAAGATCATTTACAAAGAGTTGTTCAATTAATACAAAGGCTTTTTTATGAGGCTCAATGCCAAACATTAAGTTACGTAGTTATTGTCCACGATTTTGAACTAAAGAATTGATTTATTTTACAATAAAAGGCAGCTGTAATAATGTTGCTGCCTTAATTTTCTAGTTATAAAATGTGTTGCTTTCTTACGTTAACTTGACGTAAAAGTTTTCTTTTGTAAGAACAAAAAGACGCATAAAGTAAAGGCAGTTTCTGTATCTTCGTGTGCTGTTTAGTATTTTTGCATAAGTTTATTGTATTGCATCACATATTTAAATTGCTTTGGTGAAGCTGTTCCGTTAAAAGAAACCATTTTATTTTCAGCGATTACTTTAAAACGTTACGTAAGGTAAGTTTTTAGTGCTTCCATAAATACTGAATTCTTTGAAGACGTTGTGAAAAAATTTAAAATACGAGGAATTTAATATGCATTAAATTTATATTATTTATAAAAAAGATTTTTATATTTTTAGATACGAAAATTATAAATTTTAAATAACAATTTAGATTAAATTTGAAATACTTACTTAGCATTTAAATGTTTTATACTCAAGTACAATGATGGTTTTTTACACTATTAAAAATGCACTTTTGAGGTAGGAAATCCGATCTTTTTATGTTAAAACAATTTTTTATACGGAGAAAGGCAATATTGATTGAATTAAGTGGCTACTAAAAATTGTACTGATGAACTTTAAATAATAAGAGAAACACTGGTATAAACTGCTTGATAGTGTATAAATAGAGCCTATAATTTAGATCTAAGATTCTTCATAATCAAATTGGGAATTACCGCAAATAAATTTTTAATTGTATGAATACGGCATTATTTAAACAAAAATAGAATTTTACTCAAGTTCTTATGGTAAAGTGACATTGATGAATAAGAATCCAAATTAACTTTTTAATTCATGAAAATACGCAGCTCTTTTGTTCTTTATTTAGATTTACACAAAAAATATTCTGGTAAAATTAGCAACTGTATGGTAATGACATTTCTGGAGAAAAAAAACCAATATAATTCTGATAATAAAATTAAAAAATATGTTATTTATATACCTCACATTTTGTAATTTTATCGTTCTTATGGTATCGGTTTACCGGCAACTCTGGTTTTCAAAATTATAGTTCTTATTACAAAACGTTTAGTAAAATATACAAATCTGAAAAATAAGTTTTGCCGAGTAAAGGATTTTTATGCCAGGTTCTAAGAAGTCATGATAAAATTACCAAATTTTGACAAGTTTACTAAATTTTATCACATATTATAACACTATATTTTATGGTCAATTTAACTGAGTCAATATCAAAGAGCTTTGGTAAAAATTACAGAGCTTTTTCGCGTTTCCATACAGCTAGAAACAAGGTAAATTTAACCATATTCTGGTAGTTCTGACCATACAATTTTTATCTTCGAAGAAAAGAATTTCGATTGTTTCGTTATAAAAAAAAACAATTTTTTAGGAAGAAAACTCTTTATTTTAAGGCATAACAGAAGAGCAAAATTTATTAGTTTTTTTCGATTCCATTTGGCGACTTTAAATAGTTAAAATGGTTACCAAATATCTGTTCGATATTATCCATTCATGCATTTTAAAAGAAATTGAATATATCATACAATTCGTACGTATCGATGTATAAATATAATAGTATCGATGCATAAATAGTATCGATGTATAAGTATAAATATAATATAATCCAATTCGAATATATCGTATAATTATTTATTAATGGTTCAATAAATTTCAAGAACATTTTTCTTGATTTTATATTTTAATATCGGATAAATTATAATTTACTGATGATATCAATAACAATATTTTTAATAAATCAATATTTATTCACATAGTAGCTCGTTTTCCATCTGTAATGTTAAAAAAATTATACGTCAAAAATATTTTAATTTTCAAACATTTTAAAACTTAACACTATTTTTTTGGGCATAACCATTCTTTTTTCTCTTCTCTTGCTCTCAATAAATAAATCTTATGAAATACTATTAATTGTTAAATATAAAATAAATCTAAAAGAATTAGATATTTTATTACCACGCTTATATCAATTTGCCATCGTGTATGTCTGTTCGGGTGGAATTTTGTAATCGATTTCGAACTAACTTCCCGACTAGCTACAGACTTCAAATTTGGCACATAGTTCAGAATTGGATGACAATGCACGAAAATGAAGAGAAAGAAGACATACGAAGTAAATTAAATTTAAAATTAAAACAAAATTAATATTTTCGCAATTGTCTCTTTTTGTCGATTCGATTATTTCAAATTAGTGTCACATGTCAGTAGAAAAGTTTCGTGTACAGTGAGTGAAAAATTTAGATTTTGGAAGTGAGTACAAAAAAGAAAAATCTAAATAAAAAGTAATATTTTTAAAAACCACGCTTTTGTAGTGGAGAATAATAATTAAAAAACAAAAATTTGAAAAACGAAAACCGTGGTGCGCATGAANATTGGATGACAATGCATGAAAATGAAGAGAAAAAAGACATGCAAAGTAAAATAAATTTAAAATTAAAAAAAAATTAATATTTTCGCGATTGTCTTTTGTTGTCGATTCGATTATTTCAAATTAGTGTCATATGTCAGTTGAAAAGTTTCGTGTACAGTGAGTGAAAAAATTGAGATTTTGGAACTGAGTACAAAAAAGAAAAATCTAAATAAAAAGTAATATTTTTAAAATCCACGCTTTTGTAGTGGAGAATAATAATTAAAAAAACAAAAATTTGAAAAACGAAAACCGTGGTGCGCATGAAGTACATAACAGTACATATACATACATATACACATTTTCCTATTCATACACATGCACATACACATCCACATCCACATATACATCGTCATACACATGCATATGCACAAACATATTCCACATCCATATTCAGATACAATTACAATTACAGATATACATACACATATTCTCATGAGCACACATGCACACTAATATAACATTACTGTTATGTATTTCATGTTATGTATTTCATGCACGTTTTTCGTTTTTCAAATCTTTGTTTTTAATTATTATTCTCCACTACAAAAACGTAGTTTTTAAAAATATTACTTTTTGTTTTGATTTTTTCAACTAGTTTGTTTCTCTATAACATTTTTTCAAATCGTTTGAAACCTCATGAGTACATTCTAGTACTCATTCTAGTACAATGTTTGGGGGAAAAATTTTTATTTGACAAATTTGCTGCTGAGTAATCTGACTAAATTAGGTATCACTTAGGGAAAACTAAGATCGTTTATTTATTTCATATCAAGAAATGGAGGCAATTTGAGAAGTATTAAACCTCGAAAATAAATTATTCCTCGTAATTTCCCGCAAGGGATCATTGCAGATTGATGAGCAGATCTGTAAAATTGAGTGCATTTCTAAGCCAGAAAATAGACGAGTTCTAAATTAATCCTCTAAAAATATTCCAACAGGTTAAAATTAAAAATTAATATATTCAAGGTACAATTCAAATGTAATATAAATGTATATATGAAAATGAATATGATTGTAATGTCTCAAAAATATTTAAGAACTCTACATTGTGATTCAAATAAACTAATAACTTTAACAGTGAAATGTGTATGTATGTTAGCAATGAATTCTTTGAGATGTTTTATTTTTACAGTACCTTTCAAAACATCAATCTGCATTTTATATTAAAATAAATAAAGAAAAAGCAAAGTTGGCGCAAAAATTAAAAAATTGCAAAAAACTTGAATAAACCTTACACTATATAAAGGTTTATAAACAATAAATGGAACAGTAATTGACTTTAATTAGGATTGTTTCGTAGTTGATTTTACAAAATTATAGTAAAAACACATATATTAAACTATTTTATATTTTATTTTATTTATCATCAAAATAACGCTATAAAAATAAACGTGAATTAAAAATACGCTTTTATTTAATTTAATAAAAGTGTATTTTTAATTCACGTTTATTTTTAAAGTGTTATTTTGATGGTATCAACTTTTTTGTTAAACTTTAAACTCATACTGAAGGAGAAAATACTGAACTCAAATTGGAAAATAATTGGAATTGGCATAGAGCAAAAAAAAAATTGTTAATTGATATTTAAAAAAAAGGAAATTTCGAGGTTGATGGTCATGTTAATCACTTTTGTAAGTATACAATTAAATATATGAAATTTTACAATTACAATGATGACACAACACAATTTTTTGCTAATGCTGAATGTTGTAAATTAAGCGTGCAAATGGTCATAAATATACATAATACAGTAGGTGGGAAATAAATATAAATTTGGTTGAATCATTTTCATTTATCTAAGTTTCATTTATGCGTTTAGGTCAATTCTCTTAAATGTGCTCATTGACGAAATAGTATAAAGGAATATCTATAATTTTTAGAACCACATACTGCTGTTCTATTTAATCCTATATTTGTTACATTAGCAAACTTTAATGCAAACTTTAACGCAATCACTGCTATTAATACGTATTTCTAAAATCTTAACCAAATATAAAGCTGAAAAAAAGTTTTCATAATTGGGTCGCCGAATAATACCTAAACAAAGAACAAACGTATGAAATATGGATATTTAACGAATTACTATAGAGGAAATAGAGACTAAAATATACAAACCTGAGCCATTGCTTCATTACTAAAGAAAAGCAGCAGTAAAGAAGAGTTGAAAGGTTAATTTCAAAAACACACTTCCTACTTTTCTTGAAAAGTCAAACTGGTTTTGATTTTTTCATCCAACTTTTCTTACTAGTGATTCGGAAAATTTAGTGCTTACTTTTTTTGCTACAATTTTTACAAAATAAATAAAAATATATGTTTATATAAGCTTTCCCGGAATAACTCGCTGTGTGGCAGGAGTGGGGTCACTGAAATCAAGATTCTACAATTTCGTTACTAATGGCATGGTTACGACAATGGAATCAGCATTCTTCTCAAATCACCTTTATTTCTCAGACATGCTAGTAGTCTTCGATCTGAGACCGAGTGAGCTTTAAGCTACCACTGAGGATCTAGCCTCAATCTTTCTCAATGACAGCTATGTGTCTTTAATCACTGAGCCAACATGACTTATAAAAATGCGCATTAAGTGTGGCAAATACGGATTATCCTGAGTATTGGAATATTGGATGCTCATATGTAAATTGCAAAAACTTTATCTATTATTACTTGACAATATTATCTTTTCTTCCCTTTTTCAGATTGAAATGACTCACCTGGCAACTGCAATCTTTCTCGCAATTCTTTCAACTACATTCGCATCACATTATAAAGATTGTGGTTCGAAGGATGGTATAGTAACTGGAGTTTCTGTAAAAGGATGTTCAGACTCAGACTCACTTTGTACGTTGATCAAAGGCAGTGGAGCAGAAATAACAATAAACTTTCGGTCAAATGTTGATTCGAATTCTGTAAAAGCTGTTGTGCATGGCATAGTTTTTCACGTTCCTATGCCCTTTACTTTGCAAAACTCTAATGGTTGCAGTAGTGGTATTTCTTGTCCAATCAGAAGTGGAAATTCTTACACTTATCAAAATTCAGTTAAAGTCTTAAAATCTTATCCAAGTGTGATGGTCGATATTAAATATGAACTCAAAGATCAAAATGGAAATGATCTTGTATGTGTCTTGATTCCCAGTAAAATTAAGTAGATTTATTTTAATGAAATTTTTACATATTGGTTAATAAATACAATAATATTTATAAATGAAATTAATAAGCTTCATTTTATTATTTTCGTATAATATATCAATTTATTATATTTATACATTTGACGGTAACTAAACATTTAATAAGTAAGAAATTTATTGTCTAAAAGAGAATAGCATAACCAAAACAAAACAAAAACTCAATTCAATTTAATGCAGCATTTTATTTCCATGCTTCGGTACACGACGAAAAAAAAATCTGGTGAAATTTCTGAGCTGAGTGGTTAAAGGTATTTCTGGTAAAAAAATAACATTATTCTGGTTAATAAAAAAACAAAATATACGGCATTTAAATCATTCATTTGATAATTTTTTCGTTTATGGGATAGCGGCTTACAGGAAATTCCGATTTTCAAAATTATAGTTTTTATTACCACTAATATAGCAAAAAATAAAGGAATGAAAAGTAAATTTAACTGAATACATAGTTTTTATTTTTTGCTATTAGATATCATGATAAAATCAAAATATTTATCACATTTACAAAATTTTATTACATATTATGAAACTATATTTTATTGTTAACTTTGGCAAATCATTGCCACAGCAATTCGGTAAAAGTTTCAGAACTTTTTTGATCTCCCTTAAAACCAGAAACATGTTGAATTTACCATATCCTGCTGCTTTTGATCATACTTATTTTCTCAGTGTAAAAATATACCAATGTGGTTATCTATCTCAGTGTGGTTAGAACTGTATTGTATATGAATTACAAAAATATAACTTCTTAAAAATTATTAAATTTTTCAAATATTAATTTGTATTTTCAAAATTAAGAATTTCATAGTATATGGATCATAAATTGTCATGGTGTAAACAAAGCAGCTTGAAAATAAATGTGTTGTAACCTATTAAGACTTTGCAATGTAATTTTTTATTTCCTTAGTATATACTCAAAGTAAATAAAAAAAGGTATATTATTTCTTTTACAATTTATACAATGATATATAATTTAAGATGCAAAGTTATGTGATCAAATATTTCTTTATAACAAGTAAATACTAGCATTAAACAAAATAAACAATTGATTTATTTTTGTGAAATGTAATAAGGTTTAAAGTAAAAAAGTAAGGCTCGTACATAGAGGTATACACCATTTTATAGAATTAAGACTATCAAAACATTTGATTTCTTATTCGTTGCAAAAATTTTTCCACAATCTAAAATTCATGTATGATGATATATAATTTTTAAAAAATAATTTTCTGAAATGTTGTAATGAAGTAAAGCTAAAAGCTCAGCTTTTAAAATAATCTATAATACTTTAAAACTTGTTAGGAAAGTAGGTAAATAATTTAAGAAAACAAATATATTTTCCGAAAATTGGTTTTATAATCTGCTTTATTGAGTGAAGCAATTATGATTAGGGAATTTCAAATTTGTAATTTCGTGTAAGTTTTTAAACAAAGTTTTGTAAACGAAGATTTGTCTATCTAATCCCTTAATGGAACCTTAGATTTTCGATAATATTTTAATCTTTTAAAACGTTCCAAATGTTGACAGTATTGTATGCATTTTCTGGTACATTAAAGATTTTTCAAAATTAATGTAAATTAAATGGCGACACTTATTATAATCTCGTCGTAAATATATACATTTGTGTTGTTCAGAATACAGATAGACACAATAATGGGGTGGTTCATAAAAGCATTCATAACCTTTAAGCCTTTTCGTTCATAAAAGTCTTTATAACGTTTAAACAATTCAATTAATTTGTTTTATTTGATTTGACTCTAATTTAATTATACATAAAAAGTACAGAGGAAACAATATTTTATCTTCTTAGATAGCAATGCCTTAGATAGCAATGTCTTAGATAGCATAAGACTTTGCTTTTTTAAGATTTAGAACATTGAAAACTTCTAAACTATTAGTTTTATCAATTTAGAGTCAGTTTCACTAGTTCAGCATAAAAAAAACATTCGATTCTATACTTTATTTGTCCAGGTAAACATATTTCAGTTGCGCAGTACAACCTTTAGAGATGGAATAAAAGATGCCCCAATTTCATGTTCTAACAATGAATAAGGTTTTTTTCACAGTCAATGTTAAGGTTTTTTTCACAGACTGCACAACTGTTATATTTTTTTTTGTAATTTGAGGTTCCATTGTAATGCATATTTTCATTTTTCTTTAACGATAATTGAAATATTTGCTCTACTGTTTAATTAAGTAACACAACGGCTGTGTATATTCAAGGTGTTCCGTAAGTACCACCCTTAACATAATTTTCTTAGAATTTATGTTAAAGTTATAATTTATATATGTATGAATATATAATTAAACTATAAGCATTAAGCAGTATAATTTAAGTTGTGCAGGAAAGGGTCCATTCTTTGGTCAATCATTCTTGAAATCTGGATAAGCAAAACAGGGCTAACAATCTACCAAAACTAGTTTCATTATTTCAAAAGGAACGGATCACAACTTTTTTCCTTGAAACCTTTCAAACTGAAATAAAATAGTTTCAGAATAATTCAATTAGACTTTTAATTGCTTTGACCTAAATAAGGATTCATCAGAGTTTGAAAACCTTTTTGTACTTTCTCAAATAAATATTTGATTTTGCCCATAATGTGCATAATTCTATTGTTTCAGTCTCTGAAATGATTAGAACAATACGTATTAGGAGTGTTCATAATGATCCTTACCGGTATATAAGTTGATTTTATTGAATTTTAATTTCTTTAAAAGGTTTCTCGTTTGAATTTAGTTTTATGGCGACAAGGAATGATTTGTTTAAACTGATACTTTTGAGTGTATATACATTCAAATTAAAAAATAAAAACAATGCAGAACAGTGTTATATATTGTTTGCAGGTAACTGCTAATAATAGGTGCCAACCTCTGAAATGTTTTGGAGAGTTTTTTGGAAAAATTACACGATTCAAAGAAAATATAAGTTTCTTGTTTATTTTTCTGGCCAGCTAATGTTATTCAGATAGTAAATGAATGTTTAATTGTAATCAGTCACTTAACTTGTAAAATAACTGGTTTAGGCGATGTTATGTAAAAAATATTTGAGGATATAATTGAATCAACGAGTTCGAAAATAGGTCATTTACAACAAAACTAAATTTACAGTGGAGACAAAAAACTGAATAGTTTAGTATCAGTCTGATATATAGTGCATTCCTCTTTTTCTTTAAATTAAAATATGCTGATTATGAAATATTCTATTGTTATTGCACGATAACATCACTTAATACTTTAATTTAAAAAATAATTAGATCTTGGAGTTGACAGGTTTTTAGACATACTATACATTATTTTTAACAAGCGAAAATATTACAAATTTGCGATTTAGAAATTAAATAAAGACTTTACTTTAGTCTTAGAATATATATTCTTGAGTTTTTACGAAGATTCATATATTGCTTTTTGATTATTGCTATCTGCGTTAAGCCACTGAAAAATTTCTTCATGTAAAGACAAAAGCACATTTGGCTTATATTTTAAAAACTTTTTTAATGTCTGCAATTTTCTTGTGGTTTTTCGCAATTTTTTTTCAAAATAAGGGTCTTTAATTAGTTAAGGGCCCACTTTCTAGGTACTTTTTTGAACAGAGATATAAATTTGAATAAAGCACCAATGAAAGGAGATACTTCAACTTCCCCAGATGTATTGCTTTTATAAGTATATTTGCTATAAAGCGACTCCTGAAACTGCTGTTTTCTTCTTTCTTGCTTTTCTATAGGAGCCTTATGGCAACACATTTTTCTTACAATGCTCCGGCCTCCAGCTTTTAAAATCAAATATCATATTATTTGTAGTGACCTCCTTTACATTTCATAGTTGCTTTTATCCCTGCCATTTAGTTCGAAAACACGTCATTTCTTAGAAATGGCGTGTTTTCGGACGAAATTGAAATTTACAGTTTATGTATCTACGGTAAATAAACTTAAAAATGCTAGAATCTCAATTTTTTTTTTAAAAAAAGGGAGGTGATTAGTTTTTGGACTCATCGATTCAATTATTTTACTGGTGTAATACACAGTGATTCAAATAGTGGAGATACGGTTGCGTTAAAATGGGATTGCAACAGATTTTATAATCTTATTTAATCCGGTAAATGATTTTAAATGATAGTAATAATGATAAACTTTTATTTGAAGTCCCGAAGAGTAGTTGAAGAAAGGTACGCTCTTCACAAAATATTGTATTCTACTTCGAAAACAAGAAATTTTGATTAATAATTTTTGTTTTTATTTTCAGCCATATTAAATTAAACTTATTTTTCATTGTTTTTTAAAAAAGCATTCTGAGTCAGCAAATAACGCACTGTAGTTGAATTTATTGAAATAAACATATTGTTTTGTTTTATTTTCAGGTTAGACCTCATCATTATAAATATTTTGATATTTTTGACGCACGATTTCAGGCGAAAGTGGTGATACGCATCAAAACTTTTACGATCTATTCAACCGATATCATTAAAATTATTCCTTTGCTTCTGTTTCTGATAAAAAAACACTTTTATATCAAAATATATTTCCCTAGCATGACACGATGGCTTACAATGATTCGCATTTTTTTCCCAATTATTCTGCCTTGAACTCGATGACTATTGAAAGCATTTTATATTTTCCTATCTGTGTTATTGGCCATAAGAAGAAGCAAATAGTCTGAGTGAGTAAGTTGTTTTCTTTCACCATATATTACTATGATAACTGTATTTTAAAATTAAAGATTATAAAATTTATATGTGTGGAAATAATTTTATATGCATATTGTTTTCATAATTGTAAATTGTTGTTTTAATGTATCGAATTTTTTTTCTTAAATACATAAATAAATTGTGAGCTTAACATTTCGACATTTTTACATTTAATTTTAAAACTGCCCTACACAACAGTATTTCAATAAGATTTACTCCCTGTTTTTCATGTGAATTTGTGAAATATATAATAATATTATTATGTATGCTTTTGAATAAATTTAAATGTAATTATCGAAATAACTAATGTTGCTATAAACGCCGGCAGGGTCGATCATATCTAAATCCTACCTGAAAAAATCAAGTTTTGAGGTAGGTCTAAGTAGTTTTCTATATAATTTTATCATATTTATACAATAATAAACAAAACATTATTCAAGAATTTCAAATCGGTCATTAATAAAGGAAGCATTCAGTGAAGAAAAATTAATTGGTATTTTTCGGTAAGCAAGAAGAATAAAAAGACCAAAAATGTAGACCATCACCAACTTTATTTTTTAATTAATTTAATTTAATTTATTTTTAAAACATATGAAAATTAAATTAAGCAAAAAAATTAAATAGAGAAATTGTTACATTTCTTTTGAGCCCGACTAACCAAATCTTACCTATTAATGCAATTTCCGTTTCGCATTCAAGTTTTTATTTTTTAATAAATTATAAACGCTCTAAAAAGTTTCAAACATTTAAGTAATCAAAAACTATAAACGAATTAAAAAAACCTGCATAAATAAGAATTTCATTAACATGAAATATGCTGTTAAATTTTCAAGAAATTAAATGAAACTTGAAGAAATCATCAAGTATACGAGTAAAAAGGCAAATTCTGTGTTGTATATGTATCACATTAATCTACACACCACTACAAAGCACACTATAAGTTTGTAATATCCAAAAATATGTATAATATAGTATTCATATTGTGGGTTTAAGTTTTGATCTTGTCGAATTATAGAAGAAGGGAGCCTTTTTCAAAAATTGTATAAGTCTGTTTCCTCCAAAAACAAACAAATAAAAAAAAATTACTTTTTTTGAAATAGGAGATTTTTTTATGGAGTATGTGCAATTTTCAGCATTAGTTTATGATTATCATTGAACATTATTATAAAAGTTAATGTTATATATATATATATCGGTTAAAGTTAAGTAATTATAGCATCGAAATTTTTTTTTAAACAGAATGCTTTGTATGTCATTATAAAATACAAAGAAACACTATAATACATTAGGGGGATACTATAAAAACATTATAAAGAAACATTATGAAACATTATAACATATATCATTATATACATTAAAACATTATAAAACAAAAAAGGTTGCAAACTACACTACTTTCCCCTGTACGTATCACACTTTTTTAAAACGGAAATTGAGATGATTTGGAGAGAAAATTATTATTTAAACAAGTAGGAGATGTTTTATTTCTAGTGTACTTTTTATGCTGAATTGAAAGAGATCAATCATAAGAGGACCGGACCAATAATTTTGAGGTTATAAGGTTTTTATGCACAAAAACGCACAATTTTGTATTTGTAGGTATTTATGCATCTAACTTATCTATCGAAACAAGTGAGGCATTGTTTCTTATGTATTTTTTATGCTTAATCAAATGAGACTACACAGAGTCAATAAAACGAAACTTTTATATGTTGCAAGGGTTTTAATGCTTAAAAATGACTTCTTTTGTACATATATGTACTAGTAGCTCTTATTTACGCATTTTACATTACTATATAGGAGCTATCAGAATGTAAGGTATTNGCTGTAATCAAAATTTTTTGAAAGTTGTAATCACGATTACAAGTAATTGATTACTTGTAATCGTGATTACAAGTAATTGATTACATAGCTGTAATTATCTGTAATCAATTACAGTTGTAATCGATTACTGTAATCAACGGCCAACTCTGCGTGTGTTGATAGGTCATGCAGTATCTGACGCTTTTTTAAAGTTCGCAAAAACAGGAACCACTACAATTGGGTAAAGAATTCTTGTAACAATTATTTTTCAGTTATTTTCTTTTTAACATTTTGCTAAATAATTCCAAAACATTCTGCAACTCACAAGCTAGATTGTAATTACTTTTGTAATTTGATAATGGCTACTGCCTGAGTGCTGGTAGTAAATTTACAAATAATTTAGGGAGACAAAATGCAATTAACTTTTACTTCTAAGAAATAAGATAAACCATGTTTTGTTTTAAAACAATTGCTACATTTCATAAATTGACTTTGATCAGATATATCCGGAAATATTAACTAAGCTTAGAAGACAGCGTCAATCATTGTTTACATAGAGGACGTTTCCCATTTACCAGGAGTTAGTTACATTGCTTATGTGAAGTCCATTTGAGTATATTGAGATATCCTGATAAGTAGTAGTTAAGTTATCGACTTAATTCAGCCTTGTATAAACTTCTTATTTTAGAACTATTTGCATTTATATTTTGCATTTGCATTTTATATTTTATATTTTAGAACTATTCCTGGCATATATTCCTCACAAACAATTTGTCAGAGTGACGAAATGTCTATCATTACTTATTCGAGGGAACAAATTTCGTCAAAATTAAACAAATAATTCGTCATTCAATTTTTAAAAAAAAAATGTAGTGCCCTTTTTTGCCTTACCTAATAATCACTTTATCGTGGGAACCATATAGGTGAATCAATGTCGTCCCAACGACACGAGAATGACAGATAGAACAGAAAGATAAATTATACCTATGCCCGAAACGGGGTTTTCATGGTACGCGGACATCGGATTATTTCGTCACTTTATTTTTGATCGTCTAGTCTTCATTCTAGTTTCGTCATTCAAGTTAACAATGTCCCACACAGCACTACAATAAGGTTTCGAGTCGAGGAAACATTTTCGTCATACATTTGAGAATTTGCGTTTCGTCACAAAGCACGTGATTTCGATGACGGAGTGATTCTCAAAAATTACGAAGCACGTCTCGAGTATTGATGAATCATCTAAAGTGAGAGTTTTATTTCTGAGAGTGCATTTGTTCAAATTTATTTGCACTGATTGTCAAAATTACTCATGCAATTTCATCTAAGCAGTTTCAGAAAACCTTGTATAAAATTTTTTTTTGATGTGTTCTCTTTGCAGGTTGCCATGGCTTATGTTTATTACCCTGTGATGATGGCGATGATGGTAAGTCCTGGAGCTAATTACTACAAAGATTGTGGTTCAAGAACGGGGGCTATCGAAAGTCTCACAATATCAGGATGCTTAGATTCATTGAATGTGTGTACTTTAAGAAGAGGAAGTACAGCAGATATTGCAATCCAATTTAAGTCAGCTACAGATTCTAATACAGTGACAGCTTCCGTGATGGGGCAGTTATATGGAGTGGAAATACCCTTTCCGTTAGACAACATGGATGGTTGCCAAAGTGGAGTGACTTGCCCAATCATAATTGGTCAATCTTATACTTACCAGAAATCCATACAAATACAAAGTTATTACCCACCAACTAACGTCAATGTGAAGTTTCAGTTAAAAGATGACAATAGTAATAATATTGTGTGTGCTTTGATAACTGCTAAAGTTGTGTAAACCATCTTCTGTGTATTAGTGTTTGAAATGATATTGAATTTTTAATATTTATGATTTTTTTTTTGTAAATACAATTTGAGTGAGTATCATTTTAAATGTGTACTCAACGTTCATAAAGTAACTTAAAATTCGGAATTTTAGCATAAATTAGTATTCTTATGGAAGTTACAGAGATAAACAGAGTATATATTGAACCATTAGCAATATTGCAGAATTTACATGTAGTCAAGAATAGTTTTCCTACTACGTTTGTGTGCAATTCTATTAAAGCATGAATCATTCCAGTCTATCCGCCATCAGATATGTTGAAAGTATTGAGTTATGAATTAATCAAAAAAATATATTTGATAGAAAGAACAAAACCCTGATATTCCTGCATCATATACACTCATGGAAAAAAAAATTAGCTCACCAAGAAGGAGTCGTCAAAATGAAACGAAATTTTACATACGTAATTACTATTTTGATAGAAGTAAATGATTAGAAAATCAAAGAAAAACGATAATCTTTGATTTTCTAATCATTTGCTTACATCAAAGTATTAATTATTTATGTAAAATTTGGGTTTCATTTTGACGATTCCTTCTTGGTGAGCTAATTTTTTTGTTCATGAGTGTGTATGGGTCAATTTCATAGTCATATGAGTTAAAACCGATCAACATTTTCATGCGTTTTTGCATAATATTGATTTACCCTAAAACTCTTATTTTGTTTCTTAGCTTCGTATTTAAATTTATAAACAGCTGTCCTTATCATGAATATTTCAATTCTATTCTATTAATAATTTCCAGCCAATTATTGCTGAAAAAACGTCTTTTTAAAGCTATAGTTTCTTCATTTAGAAAACAAAAAATGTTAAATGTCAAATGATAAATGATTTATTTATAAAAAAAATACATAAACCAGATATATGTAAGAAATAAAATAATCTAAAATATGTTTTACGCATAAACTACATATTGAAATACTAAGACTGTGCATCATCATATTAATTGTCTATATTAAAACTGTATATGACGTACGATGGGTCTTCTCAATAATGAGAAGCTTAATGGATTAAAAGTCTACCTCGGTACTCCCTTTTCCCCTACTTCTGATATTTTAATAAATTTAATAAATGCTCTTTTTATAACTGAACTTTTATTTAACTTTTAATACTATTACAGGAATTAAAGATGAACTTTTTAAAATCAATTCAATGAATACTTTAACTGATAAAAATGGTATTATTATTATCTGACTGAACACTTGTTTTTCGTACGAAGCAAAAAAAACAAGATAATTATCAATAAATCCATACTGAACAACATTATGAGGTCATGCACGAAACTGAAAGACATATACTAACACAAATTAATAAAGCTAAAATATTTCCATTTTAAAAAAAATCTAATATGCTCGTCCTGCTGGATTAACATTATTAAACAAAACACGTTGTATTTACTTGACATGATGATGTTGCTCCAGATTAACTCTCGAATTTACTTCAAGCGAGCAATTTTCTCCTGTATGTATACCAAATAAACTAATATAATATAAGATAGTGTACATAAATTAGTATATTTCTAACATATTGAAACAGCACTAAGTGCCATACACAAATAGCGTCTATTCCTTAAACTAATTAAGGCATCATTGGCGTCATTAGTAGGATAGTGATTTTTTACGTTTCTCCTACACGAATTCAAACAATTTTACCAATAATTTCACTTTATAGTACACAGCTTTTATCTCAATTAGTTCCTATTGCCAAAATTAATGAAGAATAATTGGTGTGATAGTTTGACGATTTTTTACGCTTCTCTTAAATGATTAATACCATTCCTTCATTAATTTTGTTTCTATTTTTTTACTTCAATCAGTAAGTATAACAAAAAACTAATTAGGAAGCACTGACGCTAATAATAGTATGGCGATTTTTTACGCTTTCCGTAAACTAATAAGTAAAATTTTTTATAACTTTGATTTTTAATTCGTAACTTTTATTTTATTTCAACTCTAATTTATTACAAAAATTAATTAAACGTCATTGGCTTCAGTAATTGCATGGAGAATTCTTACGCTTCTCCAAAATTATTTGTACAACTTCTCTATTAACTTCACCTTTTAGTGCACAGCTTATTTTTTTTAATTCTAAGTATACCAAAACTAATCAAACATCATTGTCGCTCTAATAATATGATAAGTTTTTACGTTTCTTCTAAACAAATGAATATTTTTTATCTATTTATTTTGCTCCTCTGTACAAAACTTTTTTATTGTTATTTCAAAAACCGTTGATTTCAAATCATTTAGTTTTACAGAGTGACACTTTAAAAGCATAACTATAAACAATCTGAACACGAGGTTTTATAAAACTTTCAGAATACAAGTTTGTTAACGTAGTTCATTTATGGTACCACTTTCAAGTAAATTCGTATGTTAGATATTAGACAACAACTACGAATTAATTATTAGACAGCGTGCAAAAAATTAATTTCCTTTTATAATGAGAGTTATAAAATAACTAAAATCACTGATGCTATCATTAAAATATTTAGAATAAAAAACAGAATACTAAGCAGTTTAATTTATATAAATTGGCGGTATTGTCCTGTTGAAATACAGCGCCTGGCAAGGCTTGTAGGAGGGGAACAGATTGTGGATGTAGAACTTGACTGATGAACCGGTTGCTGTCCAGATTACCCACAATTCGTAGGAATTGAGATCGTCCATTATATGCTATGGCACCCCAGAGCATAACTCCGGGTGTTCGTCCACTGTGGCGTTCGATAATGCACTCCGGAAGGTGGCGTTCACCGGCATAGTGTCTAACAGGAATGCGGCCTTCATGGTACCACAAATTAAAGCGGGATTCATCAGAAAACACGACACGCTGCCAATCAGCACGGCAGTCAGTATGCTGAATGGCCCATTGTAGCTGCAGGCTTTGATGGTTCAGCATGAGGAGGATCCTGTATAAAGGAGTCCTTGCGCGCAGTCCACGCTGCAGCAGACGTCGACGAATTGATGAAGCACACAATGAAACACCTGTAGCTATTGACCACCGTGCTGCCTGTTGTCTAGAGGGAGCCGCATGGTCCGTTAGCGCAACGCGGAACAGGCGTCTATCATCGCGAGGCAACGTGGCATTTCGGGGTCCACTCCCAGATTTCCGAGTTGTCCGACACTCGTCCATCCACTGCCTTCAAACACGCATCACTGTGCTGCTGTTACGCTGCACACGAGCGGCTACTGCACGATAAGGCAATCCAGCTTCACGAAGGCCAATGGTTCTCCCCCGTTTAAATTCCGTAAGTTGTTTAAATCTCGCTATCTTTCGTGGAAAAGGCATAAGTAATGACTAAGCTAATGTTTACCACTAGCAGATAACCACCGATAACCATACACGCCTAGCTACAGCCATCTATTTATTAGAATCCATCCACCGTTCAGAGGGCGCTGCTCAGCATACGCATGCGCTGCGGGTCTGAAATTCTAATCATTTGCATATCATGCACTACTTTGCATTTCCTGAAAATTTCAGCTCACTCGCTTTAGTCCTTCAAGGTGTTGCAATTTTCACAAACATGAGTTTACATAACACAAATTACAATAAAAACATGAATAAAATAAAAAACTAAATTGTAGAGAAACAAGAATGGTAAAAGCAAATAGTCGTTATCAAGACACATCTATTGCTATAAATGCGATATTTCTGAATAAAGAATAATTATCCTAAGATAAAAATTATTCTTTATATGTGTCTAAAAACATGACA